ATCAGCGTTATTGTAAAGGATAAAACCATTAGGACAGAATAGAATTGCTACTTAAACGTCCCAGTTTCTGTCGTTTCAGGTCAAAGGGAATTCAATTTAAAACCGCAAACCAAAAGCCCTTTTGGAGCACATCTTCCTCCTCTGAATCCCAGGATCTATCGCCGGGAGTGTGAACCCATCGACCGTAAGGCGATTGCATCAGCACCTGGTGATTAGGCCCGGCAAGCTGGCCACAAAGAGGGCCTCTCTCCTTCCATGTGAAAAAAGAGAGGAATACCGAGATGTGAGCCGAAGGCGACGATGTAGGCTCAAAGCCCCGCGTCCGTACTTAAACCCTTCATCCATGGTTGTCGAGCATCTATACGGGAGTTTGACAGGTTGACATACCGCGCGCTTTTGTCCTTGCGCCTCCCCTTTCGAAGTTAATCGCACTTCCGCAACGTCGCTGCGATTCGATTCGCTCCCCTAGTGATGAATTTACCTTTTCTTCTGCATTTGCACGCTACCAGCTTGGGATACTAAGGATGTCCGAACGGAAACTACAAGGAGTAAATTCGAAATAAAATGTTAAACTAGCCTGCATGGGGCTAGTACATCCACGGAACTTCTTGTTTTCCCTGTGTTGGTGCCCTCCCCGATGATGAAGCGAGTGGCACAACTTTTTAAAGAATATGTATGGGACGTTTCAAAACTAAATTTGATAACTGTATGCAGTACAGTATCACGTTTTGAATGATGTGACGGAATGTGCAAAAGGATGCTCGACAAACTAATGATTAATTCCGAGAGGCTTTTATTTTGCCTTGACCTTGGCCAGTGCTGCCAAAATTCTGGCTTGAAATTTAAACATCATTCTGGACTACCATCAGCCCACAGGCACACTGAAAATTCTCCCCCATTATACCTGCCTGGCCAAATATTTGGGTATCAAGTCGACCAAACTCCGAGGATCGTGTGACTTTGCGTGCTTGGGGCGGATAAACGGCCGCTGTATAGGGTTCATCTCGTCGTATTTCGGGTAGAAATCCGCGAACGAGCGTGCTGCGCAACGCAAAGTGATAGCTACGATCAATATCGTCGTGTCGTCGGCCGAAATAAGATCAGGGTAGATTTAGCTGTGTTAGGTTGAAGGTGATTAAAAGGCATCGGTCAACTGCATGTTAATCATAACAATGTTTTTCATTGATGGACCTTTTTCTTAGAAACATCAACAAATTTGGGTCGTAATCAGGAGAAGAGCTAGTCCGTCAAGTGTAGTTAACAATTAGGGTCCGAGTAATTCAAGCGCGTTGGAGACGTTTAAACATAGATTAGTTAGTATTCACTACACTCTATACCTCACATCCAAATACAAACAAATTTTACGTTTTATAGGCATATAATTATTTCTATGTGGTTCTCTTCTTGCATCCGAACTGTTACATTCATTGAAATATGATCTCGATGTCCGCTGGACTTTCTTTCTCTTTTCAAGTGCTGCGGTATCGCTGCTCCAAATGTTTGTCCGACCTTGTTTTTCAGTAGTCGCGTAGTCGGGCAAATCCGTTGTCGTGTGACCCGATTTGTTCCGGAGAGCAGGGCGGGCGTGATGAAGTGCAGAAGAGAAGTGCGGCAGAGGCGCGGGGACAGACGGCGGTGCTCATGCTGACGCACAAATCAGCAGCGGTGAACGCACGCCCGACTTAAGCTCCAGTTTGATGTACCCGCGGGCTGATCTTCTCGCGTGTGGGCGTCGCTTTTACATTTTCCGTTGAAAACTTACGATAAGTGGGAATAGAACACATTAGAGGCAATTATTAACCTCATTCTACACTGAGCATAATTCAAAGGAATAATAAGTGAACTCGAGTGTCATGTTTCAGCCCAAATGTAAGAGATATGACATTGTTTAAAAGCAAGACAGACCCTTCAACTGTAAAATATTTTGATTTTTACAATAAATAAAATGGATTTGGGTACAACGAACATGAACACATGAGACAGGAGAAGGCACAAATTTCCGATTTGTGAAAGTTTTGACTTTGCGTGATTACTGGTCCTGACGCCAAACGTATCCGCGAGGATGAAGCACCCCTTTAGCTTTGGCTGGACAATCGTATCATCCCCTCCACGGGCGCCAAAAGGTTTACGTGGCGCTGAGGCGTGGCTGAGTGGACTCCACGGTGCGGTGTTCATTCAACGTTCGGTAAAATATCAAGTTCAGAAAATGAGGGGGGGGGAACTGCCTCGGGCAAAAATGGCAAAGTGAGAGAAGAACCAGGCTTACAGAACAGCCTTTTTTCAAAAAGATTCGGAGAAAGTATTTTTTTTACAATGAATAAGTTGTTTTGAATAGCACAAGCTTTTGTGCTTAGAGATCCTATGACATTAAGTTTTTAGTTTTTAAGGACGTGGGAAAGATGTTTAAGAACAAAATATTTCTATGCAAGCAGAGTAATTTCAGAGACCCGTCACTCTTGCTGTATTTCGACAACTGGCATATTATAGCTGATCTTACCGACTCCATTCTAACATTATGACTCTTATTTCTGCCACTTGGTTGCTGCACTTTGATTGTTCCGTAGCCGGGGGACACAATCAATCACGTATGATAACACAATTATCGTCTTGTTTTTTAGAGCTGTTGTTTTCCAAACGTGCACTCACTTGAGACAGACGATTGCATAATGGATGCGTGTGGCCCCAAGCTGTACTTCGATGTGCGTTTTGCTGTGGGCAACTACATTTTACAGCCACCAAGAAAACACAAACCCCTAACCAAAACCCGTTACCGAAGAGCCCCAAATTCCCCACATTACTCCGCGAGTGGGTCCCGCTGGTAACCGCAAATAAACACGGAGTAAATCCTTCTCGCTGACCGTGTTAATCCTGCGTCTTTTTTACGCCGAAGGGTCGGGGGGGGGATCAGCGGTCATTAACGCGCCATAACCCGCTGCGTGCTCGGCTTTGATAAGCCACCTGGAGAAACACACGAAAACGCTAGGGACGTTGATCTCCTACGGGCTAAACGTTGCCATGAGACGAGTTTGTTTTTTTACGACGTACCGGTACCTAAATTTACAAAACTCGGTTATGCAGGAAATCACAGAAGTAGCCTTTTTCTGTAAAATATTTCTTAATCAGACTTCCTAGGAGGCTCATTTTAAAGCCAAGGGTGCTTTTGCGTATTGCTAAGTGCTTCTTTGCTGTTTTGTATAGACGACAAACAAGAACAATCGCACCATTTATTACTTACATTTCAAAAAAATCTAATTTTAATGTAAATAACTCATAAACGCAAAGCGCTCCTTGAATGTTTCCAGGGAAACTGGAAAGAAAAGTGGAGTATCAATCAATACACACCAATGTCCTTTCATCTCTACTAGAGCGCTGACACACTTTCACCATTCAGGAGTTAATTTGAAACTATTCTGCAACATTACTCCCCGAACAACGGCTGCCATAATCCTACAGTGTGCTTAGAACTGCATATTTATGGCACAACGCAGTTTTTATCTAACTAATGAAGCTGCCTAGTACCGACACCTTGGTACTAAGGTATAGTACACACTACATACCGGTATACCTTGAGTATGCAACTCGTACTTCCGTATATGACTGTCATAAACTGTGATTACCAAGTTGCATTTCTTTCTCATATGTGGATGCCATTAACACCTTGCATCCAATAACTATCAGCGTTCTGAGCTCAATTTATTGTTTAAGAGTCTGTAGCCAAATTTACCTTTATCATCACCATCACAGCCGCCTGAGGTATCGACTGTATCTGTCTAACCAACCGAAACCGTGTTTGTATTTATATAGTTTGTATTGATCTGTTAAAAAGCCAACACAAGCTCGGCCGAGTACCTGCGTTTGGTCACTGGCACATTACATGACTTTGTACACCTGTGATCCAAATTATCTGATTTCAACCGACACACGGGTATCGATTGGAACAACGTGACTCTCTTTACGCCGTCACAAGTGTCATTTTCCATGGCGCACCGGGTCTTCAGTCTGAGTACCGCTGCATTACTCTCGCATAAACTGAAGCTGTAGCTGTCTGAGGATTATTTTCATCAAACTGACCGAATTATACTTCACTTACCGGAAGACAGTCGAAATTTATTCCCTCAAATGGAAAGTAAGATTCAGGATCTTATCCTCATCATAAAATTAAAAGTTCCCATTGAAATACTCTGGATCGGTTTGTGGTATTGTGACAGGATGACTTTTGGGCAATATACAGTATAACTGTATTTTAGATTCTTTCAGGTATTCAAAGTCGAAATGGATGTTTTATCACGATGATCTGCGAGAGAAAAAAGCACATGGATGACTTCAACCTTCCATTACTGAGAGTTAAGAAAAGTGGTTTGGAAACTTTCTTGGGTAAGCTGAAAGTATGCGTTTCGACACCACAAAATGCAATGTGAACTTTGAAAGCAAATGGCTGCTCAAGTCGATAAACAATGTCTCAACTCGCTCTGACGGGTCGTGGTTCAAATCGCTTGCAAAATGATATCAAAGTTTTATAGGCATAAGAGCCATAAACTTTGAGTTGAACAGACAGACACTTATGTGAGTCTGAAAAAAGGGTTCAGCAGAAAAGATGTCATTCTACAGACAACGTACTTATTTCCTTTTCTGTTTGAGTCCAAAAACCTTAGTACTCAGACTGTTTTTTGCAATTGTAAGTTGTACCGTAGACATGTCCATATACAAAAACCTGTCACATATCAGCACACCAGACGACAGCAAACCCCACGGCAATATATTAATATTTGCTGAGAAAGCGGCAAAATGCACATCCCACCAACAAAACAGCGGTGCAGTGCTTCCCAATACTAAGTCTATAGTCGTATAGCGACAGGCTTTCTCGTTTTACCTGCAGGACAGCGATAATTTACGAAGCCCTAGTGATGTATAGGGAGCGATCGCGCGCTGCCAGGTGAGGTCACGTGGTGCCGTAGCAGTTGTCGTGTGGTATCGTCCTCGTCATATCAACGCTGGTGGGATCGTTGGTCACGCCAGAATCGAAAGCGCATCCGCACATCGAAAACGATCGCAGTCGCGTCGGTCTGCTTATCAGCGAATACCGCCAACAGAGGAGAAGCTATAGGTTAGGAAAAAGTCTCCAATGACGGCTTTAGGACAGTAGACGTTTCAGAAGATGTGACTGTATTCCATGACGATGGTGGAGCAAAGCGAGTAGCAAAAGAACGAGTTTTTTTTTTACTGTGCGAGGTTGTGATCTGTGGCCGCCAACAGAGGTCGTCGAGTTACGTTCAGGCTTAAGTCAAGATCGTGAACCGCGGAATCTGGTAGGTATACTCATTTTTAAGTTCATGAGCACCGTGATGAGTGTATATTTCTCGCATTACGTTTGCTCTTTGCGCTGGAAGGCTGGGGCATGGTTACTTTCTTGGCAATTTGTTACAAAATCGGCGCTTCCGTCTCTAACAGTAGTCATGTTTTAAATGGTTTGCTGAAGGAGTCTGCGCGCGGCCTTTCCAGGGTTGCTAATATAAATCCATTGTTTTGTGTATTTCGGGGTCTCTTTAGGGCCTAAGTGGCTGTCAGTCCATAGAGTCCTACATGTACTTAATTTGTGTGCACGTTAACATTAATGCTATTCATTCCATGGAAGACTTAATTTTAGGCGAATATCTTTGCCTTCTTCAAAATGTCAAAGATTGGATAAACTTCTGTATTGTTTCAAGATGTACTTTGTGTCGTGAGATGTTAATTTCTTAATTATAAGTTTTTTTTTGCCCTTACCCTAAGTGTATATTTATAAACACTGCCTTGGACAACTCAGTGTTAGTCCGAGAGCTTGCAAAAAACTCACAAGCTTACTCGGATGGAACTCGCAGGAGGTCGTGGGTTCGAGTCCCACCCGAGTAAGCTTGTGATTTGTTTTGCAAGCTCTCGGACAAGCACTGAGCATACAGTGTTTATACATACAAAGGTCACGTAAGGGCAAAAAAGTTATAATTAAAAAATTGTGTATTGTGACCACACGGACTGCATTTCATTGTGATGTCAAATTCATTTTGACGGTTATCTTCATCTTTGGTTAAACTAGGAAAGTTGACTACTTTTCAAAATATTGTTCTTAAAGCATCAACTTGCAATTTGAAGTGACAGCCAACGGTTCAAACCAGAAGACATATCACATCACTGAGAATGTCTAAGTTGAGAGTTAACTGTCTTCTAGACAAATTGGGAACGTGACCAGCCACTTACCTGTCATCCCCTAGTCTTGTCGACACGACAACCTGTTGAGTGTTCCGCCCTTTATGGCAAACACGATACCTTTACTTTTGTCTGTAAGCAAGTGAAATACAATCAGTCGTGTTAGAATGAGGTCCTAGCAAAGAATAAAAAATTGACATGTTTATCCACGTACACTTGTGTTTAATATCAGTTACATCATTCTTTCATTAATTTGTTCAAATGACCTACGTGATAGATTCGACTTCTAGAGCGTCTTGTACTCTTTGTAAGTATAAAAGCATCGTTGGGATGTTTTGATCGCTGGTCGAATCTCTATCGTATATAAAGGTCGCAGGATTTCTTCTCTTCCCCTGAAAGGAAAATAATCACGATTCTTCAAGTTTCATGAGTAACACGGAGCATTAACTCCATCATTACGTGAGAAAAATAATATGGACTTCATTTCCATATGAGCACAGATCACAATAGGAACCACAAAGTGGTTCTGACAAATCGGTTTCAATTGTAGCCACAGCAACACAGCGGTTAACTTACGCGAGCAAATGAAAAATGAACATTTTCCACCAACTACTGCACCATATCTGTGGTTTACGGTGTACCATCTGACTTTACTCCTTAATCTTTGTAATCCTATAATCTTTAATCCTGAAAAGATTAAATTGAGTAGTTCTTCAAGGCATCCCTTTTCTGCCCTCTCGAAATGGTCTTATTGGTTAATGTGAATGGAAAACATAAAGTAGTAAAACATATGCAGGTTCTTTTGTGGAATGCCAATTGAGCTACTTTGAAAATTGTAGTCAACTGGCAACTTCTTGCCGAGCAAGGAAGAGCCCTGAGACATTCTGTTCGCAATCAGATATTGAAAGGTTATTTGAAAGAAGTTTCCATCATCAAATTACTTCGTTTAAACAGAAGGGGTTAAAAGAAGTTGCATCGTGTCACTACGGGTGTCAACAAACTCATTCACTGACAGAGCATTTCTCCAAAAGAGGCATATGTCAGCAATCACTAATAACCGAAGCACGCCACAGCGGGCCCTCGTGAATTAAAAATCGTGAGAATGTAATTTCAGTGAATATCATGGGCAGGCATATAAATTGCAAGGTAAATTTCGATTCCAACAACTGCGTTTGGAACCACTGCCTCAAGGTCAATGAAAGTGTTTGTTGACCCCGTAGTGACACGATGCAGCTCCTGTTAACCCTTTCTGCGAGCTTTTCGCATTTCCACGGATGAGGGTATATCAACAATTTTACTTTGTCCACATAACCGTAAAAAGTGTTCTTGTTTTGAATAAACACGCTTGAGTGCAATCACCGTATGAAGATAAAGGTCGCTCAAAACAAAGGTTTGACAATTCCATTTTAGTGAACATTAGATTGGTCTTTCTTCGTTGCGTTAATGTTCTGTGTGATACAGAGGCAATGAAAGGTAGAACAGGTAAGCTCATTTATATTTGGATTAGCTTTAACTTCCAATTACTTCTTCTCAAGAAAGCTCGTCCATTGTTTACTTTAACCCGCTCCCTCCCCATCAATCCTTCTGTGGAAGGATGGCTCATGAAGAGACGAGTTTAAATGAGTAAGCAACTGCCATGCATCCGCAAGCAGATTAAACAGCGACTCCAACTGGCGAATGAAAAGTATGATATTTGTTCTTCAAATACTCAGATTTGCGTCTAACGATCTTGCAAGTAATCAGCCTTATACCGCATCCACTGTTTACACCCTTGTGACGATGCCCAGAGCCGAATGGTTGACGCGTGATTAAAATACTGTCGTCAGTGGGTGACATGTGTGCCATCTTTCCCGGGACTCCAGAGCTCTCCAGCGTACACCCCGTCTCTCCACTGTCACACTAAGAGTAACTTGAAATGATCACCGCGCGGTGTAGATCTAATCACCCACCCCTTGCAGCCCTGGGCTAAGCTTTCCTTGTGCCGAGTTTTCCCGTGATCCCAGTCTTCTTGCCCAGTCTGTGATCAATGTTCATTGCTGGGGTCCGCGCCAGCGCAGTTTACACATTTAAAGCTTCATTTTTTTCCCAATCACGGGAACAGTTTCAGTTTGTAACTTCAAGCGCTGAGTTCCTGAGAGTTTCTCCTGGTATCTTCGACCCATTACGGAACAAATTTGCAAAGTCGATGGCGAATTAATTTGTGCCGGTGTTTACTTTTGTCCCCGGGACTGCTGATGCTTTGTTTAATTGGTTTAGTGGAGCCGACAAGGTTGTGTTTGCCTTGCAGCTTAAAATATTTACAGAGGCCGCCCCATGCTTGACTTTCTCTCTTCCCTTTTTTAAATGGTCGATGTGGAGATGACAACTACCCTGGCCGCGTCACGGTGTGCCGAACTTGGCAGTTGTTATTTGCTTGACAAGGCACGGAGGAATGCGCGGGAACCAAAGGTCGTCTGAGGCAGATTGCTTTATCCGTTCAGACAGCTTGAATGTCTAACAGAGCAGTTACCTGAGACTCGCAAGTTAAGACTATACTTTACACCTTAAGGTTTAAAGAGGACCGCGACGCGTCGAGGAGACAAGAGTGAGTGTCGGAATTAAAAATAAATTAAACATGGCCCTGTGTTTGCTACTCACTTAGAAAAGGCGGGAATGCGCTTGAATTATCGTCTGCGGTTCATCGCACTGAATAAAAGACATCCATCTCAAAAATGCACTCTTATCTAAACACTCAGCACGCACTAGCTTCAGGGGTAATAAATGAGGTCTGCTGTGCTGATGGAGTGGGAAAACATATCCTACAGCCATCCACAAAATGAAATTATTTAATTTTTTTGTCTAAACAACACTTGCGTGGCTATTCGGTTTTGAGGAGTGTGTAAATGATTGCGATGAAGCGTGCTTTACGCTGAGCTATATAGGAAAACGGCTATTAGCGGGCCAGCAAGGTTTGGTATCTGATTTGGTAAGATAGATCATTGTGTTACGAATCAATATATATAGAGAAACCTGTGAAAAAAGTTTTGTAATCCTCTTTGTTGGTAAACTGGGCATAAAGTATGGGCAGAGGCTGGGCGCAGTAGCGAAGTGATATGTCACGCGTACAATTGTGTGTATAAGGCATTAGTGCGAGAACCGGCGCGTGAACCAATACGTTTGCACTACACTTCCTGGTTCAAAACAACATCATACTTCGGTACTGTATAGGCCAAGAACCTAAAACGTACCATATCCTCTCCTAATTACAGAGCTATCTCGTGCTAAGAGTTACGCAAATAGTGCACTTTCTCCTGCTGCCCCAAGGTGATCAAATCGTGTTTCTAGTTTCTCCTAAAACTATGGAACACTGTGCAGGTACAAAAAAGTTGTCTATATTGTGATCTCCTATGCAGTTGATTCCTCCAAACTTAGTAGAGCTTTGATATTGTGTCCATTCCTTGTCTCCTTTTTCGTGTCTTACACCCTTCCCCATCTCCGGTCGTCAGACCTTTAAATGGCCTTCAGTTTTCCAGAAGCTTGGTCAAAATGCTTGGTTTTATTCTTTCAATTTCTCTTTTTTTCCGGAAATGGTGTTTTAATCAGTGCGTCTTCTTGACACACAGATAGTAGCTGATGTCTCAGTGGTCACGATTAATGACCTCGATCGGCGTAAAACCAAAGGATCATATTTATTGGTCTTTCGTTGTTATTCGTATACTGCAGTTCCTCGTCTTAATCAGGAACTGCATGATTAATACTTTCATTTCAAAATGCTCGGTCGCTCTCCAGCAAATTGACCACAGGATGTGCGTTTGTATTTAGTTCGGGGATTAAAAGATCAGAGAATGCCGAAGTTCCAGAGAGTGATCCGGATTTCCTCTCAATTCAAGCCTCGGCAGGATGAGCAATTGAGAAAAGAAAAAAACCAAAATCATCCAACTTCAAATAAAACCTACCAATCGCATATCAAAGCTTCAAATCCACTGGATCTATGCTGCACAAAGTTTTACTATTAAACGAGAAGGAGGAGGCGTAATTGGCCGTCTGGGTGAAGGCGGTGTGACATCCAAGCAGCGCGATTCTTCGGTAATTCCTTCATCAGTTGCATGTGGTGAGGAAACCAGTGGGTAATGATCACAAACGCTAGGGGCGATATGACGAGAGCGTTAGTGGGTAGCGTCTTCGATAATTCGCCTCCCAGGAGGGAAGTAGGGCTCGATCGATGGTGAGTAGGTCAGCCTATTTTCATGAACCTAGGGTCTGGCGATAGAAAATAAATCACTTAAAAGTACTGACCGATGGTTTTGATTAATTATTTAGATGTTCTAGTTAATTGTACGATACTGTACTGTTTGAAATTATTTTAGCGTCATCTGGAATCTGTCAGCAATCACATTTTTCCAGATCTTAAAATACAGACAGGGCATGAAAGTAAGCAGATAACAAATCATGTTAGGGACAATATTTACAAAAGGTCATTTGGGAAACATTTTGTGGTACATTTTTCAGCGTTAGGGAGACATTGGCTTTTAGGGAGACATTTTGGTGTCTCCCTATTTTCAAACTACCAGAAGGAGGCCGAATTTTAGTGTCCATATTTTGAGAGATGATAGTTTAGGGCCTAAAATGAAAACATAAAAGTTTGGTTCAGATCAGATTAGGGAATATTGAATTATGGGACAGTGAAGTTGGAAAAATTTTGTGCACGTTCTTATGGGAATGTCTCCCTAATGATCCATTAGCGGTAATTATAACAACTTTAGGGGTGATGATACCAAAACTCTAGGCAACATTGTGGTCCACGATCCTACCGAGAGGGTCATATTAATTGAGAAAACTAAAGGTGCGCTATTTCCTTTTAATTAATTTGCTGGCTGATTGTTTACCGAAACCCAAAGTGACTAGTTGTTGCACCAAAGCCATATTTTACGTTTTTAAATGTTGATCACTTCCCTTTATGTTTCACGTTGTGAACGCGAAATGCACTATAAAATTAAAAATAGTACCGCAAGACGCAAAGTGGCAATCGCATCTGCTTCCATAATAGACGACATTTCTCTTCAGACACATTATACCCAGGCTCATACACAAATCGAGATAATTTGTGCGCTTTATGCGTTCCGTTGCACTAAGGAGGTATTGGTATCGTTTACCGATTCCGGACGTCCCACTGTCGATCGATACAGTTTGGCGTCTCACCCTTAGAGCAGGTCTGTTGCCACGGTATGGGGTCGTGCCTTGTTTTGCTCTAAATCGTAAGAAATATTGGGTGGACTTATGCGTTACCGACTAGGATCGAAGGAGGCTGGTGTTTTTATAAGGTGGACAGTAATCGGTGGATAAGAAATCGTTCGCACAACGGCTGAACTATCCATCAAGGCACAGTCATATTCAGTGAGATACATTAGTTTAA